CTTTCTTTATATTGCACTAGTATGGTGTCCGTGCGATGCACGGGGGCATTTATTATATATATATATATATATATTTTAAAGATATTTTTGTATTTAAATTGTCTCATGCCATTAAAAATTTCATGAAAATAAAATTTATATGTTATTAAATATTTTTTTATGTACAACATTATTGATTTGATTCTTTGGCACGTAAAGTACTACATAGGTGTTCGAATTTATCCAAAATTGCATATTATTAGTTATTAGTTAACAAATTTTAAAAAATTTAAAGGATCTTATTTATTGAACAAAATTGAAGTAGAAAAAAAATTAAATTTTTTTAGGGATTTTCACCCATTATTTATTTTAAATCTAATTCTAAATCTCAATTAAGAAAAATTAAAAACATCATTAGTTACTCCTGAAAATGAAATCGATTTTTCTACCAAGAAACTGATTTTTTTTATCAAACTAATTGATCCGAATATTTTTTTAAACCAAATAAAAAAATCATCAATTATTTTCTAAAATTGCAACCGAAATTTCCTAACATTGCACCAATTTTTTACCAAACAAATTGAATTGAAACTAATTCTAATAAAAAATTGAAATAATTTGTTAATGTTTATGCAACTGTCTCTTTCTTAAAGAAAATGATATGAACTTAACCAAGAAAAAAAATGATATGAACTTACCAAAATCTCGGTAAAACATGGTTAAGAAAAAACATAAGAATTCAAAAAAATCGATGTCTTCAAATTTTGAAAAGTCGCACACAATTTTTCCTAAATAATTGGATAAGGTGACTATAAATATCAAAGATGAACCGCTTTTGTTACCAAAAAATGTGGACACAATTTTGAATGTACATCCCGTCCAAATATCAATCATATTTTAAAATAAAAATTGCACGTGGTTTTATCCAATTTACACACTTTTTTTGAAAGAAAAAAATATTCAGTAATATTGGAAGAATTTGTTAAGAATTATACAACTATTTATTTCTTAAATTTGTACCAAATTTGCAAGGTTTTTAAATTAATTTGTATTTAGAATTGTTTTCATAAATAATTGACACATTTTTTGCATAAGAATCTCCAAATTGTTACAAAAAAAGATATGATTTAAATTTTGTTAAAAAAAATAAAATATGATACGAAAAAAATGAACTTCAAATTTTGCCATAAGAATCTCCAAATTTGTTGCAAAACAATAGGATTCAGATTTTGTTACTATAGATTCATATCAATTTTTTCGAACTTTCCATTAATAATAAGTCAAGCATTATATTTATTTGGTCACACTTTCTATTAATGTATTTTTCCAACAACCTCTTTATATAAATATAAATATAAATTTGAACGGTCTGATATTTGGTTTGTTTCCAAGTAAGCTGTGATTTATCCTTGATTTGTTGAATAACCAATTGAATTAATCTNATTTACTTCAATTAAACTCAAATGAAAAGTTCAAGGTATAACCAATGATTACAACGTGATCAAGTCCCAAATAAGAAAGTTAGACTAGAACACACGGGTGACAAACCAAGGCACTATCGAGTGGAAAAGAAACCACAAACAAGCAAATTCGAAACAACCAACCAACTAAACAACTAAACAGTTGATTTAGTGTAGAATCAACTTTCGAGTCTTGATACGCCGCTCAAATTAATGATTGACCTTCGCTTGATACCTACTGAGTAGTGCGCATCCCGTGTCACCAATAAGGTTCTGAAACAATAACCGTAATCGAACCGGTCAAGTTATTGGTTCAATTGTTCATTGGTTCGATCAATAATTAAATTGGTTGGACCGATATTTAATTTATTAATATTTTTAACCATATATAAAATTTTGTTAATTAAATATTAAATCAATTTCAAACATTGAAATACATAAACTAACTAATAATAACTTAAATACATTCATTATATTTAAATATGTATTTTTTATTTATATTTATAAATATTTTTAAATATGTTAAAATTTAATTAAAAAAATAGACCGATTCGACAGGGGCGGAGCCCAATGAGGACCAGAGGCTCCCACTGAAAAAAATAATAAAAAAGAAAACTGAGTTTATGTATATATTGCGAATACTACTACTAGTCTACTAGCCCTTAATATGAGCCCAAGTAACTATTAAGCTTAATAACAATTCTCTCATCAGAGAGACTCTCATCGGAGATACTATTACCTTGGCGAAGATCTGATGCTCTTATCGGAGAGTCACTTTTCGATTTTGTTTTCACGATTTTCCTTCGTATCTTGGTGTCTGCTATTCTGACCTTGAAGTGGAATCTAAATTAGGGCTCGGCAATGGCCGAAGATTTAGGGGATCAGTTTAGAGCACTACAACTCTCATTCAAAGAGAGTAGGGATGTGGAGTTAGACACTGAAGATGTTAGATTGAGTGATGAAGAATGTCGCCGAAGTGTATTAGGGAAGATTATCGGTGATCGTAAAGCAAATATCTCTGGGATTAAGCTTCTTATGGGTTTGGTCTGGCAAACAACAATGGCTTTTGAGGTCAAGGAGGTGGAAGCCAATGTTTTCCAATTTATTTTCGGCTGTAAGGAGGACAAGGAAAAGGTCTTAGCAGGGGTTAACTGGGTTTTTGAAAACCAGTATTTGGTGCTGCAGGACTGGAGGGAAGGCCTGTCATCTCAGGACCCGGGTTTCAGTGAAATTTCATTATGGGTACAAGTTCACAAGCTACCACTCAATTGGCTCATCATAGAGGTGGGGAGGAAGATTGGAAGGCTGGTCAAGAGAATAAAAAATGTTGTGGTGGTGAAATCAGGTGGAGTTCAAGGCAGCAATCTGAGGCTGTTAGTTTCCCATGATATGTCAGAACCTATTCTTAGATATGCTCATATTAGACTGGGAGAACAAAGATTGGGTGTTACCTTCCAATATGAAAAGCTGGTGAGTTGTTATTATTGTGGGATAGTGGGACATCTGGAGAGGTCATGTGCAGTTAGGGCTAAGGATATTGAAGATGGTAAGCAAAAAGTTGGTCAGTTTGGTGAATGGTTGAAAGCCATAGAGACATGAAGGATGGGAGGGTCATCTCAGAGTTCCACCCTGTAGCGCCCGGTTTATTTTTGAATTATTTAGAATTATTTGTTATTATTATTGATATTATTTATTATTATTATTATTATTATTATTATTATTATTATTATTATTATTATTATTATTATTTAAATGAATGTCTAATTGTGAATTAAATGTCTAAATGTTATTATTATTATTAAATAATCAATGTGTATTGTGTATATGTAAATATTATTCAGTTTATTTTAATCGCGTAATCGAACCGTAAAAATCGAGCCTGAGAATTCGAGTCTTCGAAACTCACGCACATGAACCGGTCCCATAAATTGAGAAACCCGCGAGCCCGAACCACGCTCAAGCCCCGACCCAGTCCGCCCATGAGTGTGTGTGTGGGTGTCTTGAAGATTAGGAAAGGATTAACCCTAATTGCATAATAAACCGTGCCTTTAATCCTCTCCCCTCAACATCCTTCACCCGCAGCTTTCTTCCCTTAACTCAGATTTCTTTTCTTCTCTTCGATCGCGCAAGTCAGAAAATCGATCGATCTCTCACCATCTCATCTCCTTCATCATCAACCCTCTCTCTCGTTTTTGAACCCGTCGCCATAGTCATATCCAATCGCCATCCTCGTCGTCATCTCCTCGTCTCGCCACCATCATCGCCGGCGTGAAGCAACCACCTCCGGTGACCCAGTTCAACGTTCTTCCCAGCGAGTCTGAGCCTCCCGCGAGCAAGCCCACGAATTTCCGACGACGAACTCCCTCAGTCCGGCGACCTGCTTCCACCGCGCCGCGAAAGAGACTCTGCCGCGCCGCGTCACCACCGCAGGACCTCCGTCTGCTCCTTCTCCGGCGATTCGCAGCGCCGCCGTGAGCCCTCTGCCGCGACCAGATGCTCTACCTCCGGCGATTTTCCCGTTCGCGCAGCAGCAACCCCACGAGGCTCTTCCCGGCGATCCCTGTCTGCGAGTTCGCATCGCGATCTTTTTCCGTGAGCCACAACAGTCGTCCGCCGCTGCTCCGCCCCTTCACGAGTGTCAGGCCGCCATGGACCAGTAGGAGTCCCCCGTCGGCCTTTGTTTAGTAGCCCGAATAGCAACGACAACTCTTTCGGGTCCGTGCGAGAAGAATGGCAGCCGTTCGAGGCTTTTATCGAGCAGCCGTTTCCCTTCGAAACTCTTTTGAGCAGCCCGTGTTGGGTTCGCTAGTACCGTACGGGCTTTAAGCAGCGGAATTTAAAATTTTTCAAAGTAAGTATTTATCGTATAAATACAACACCCGTACATACTAATTGCGAATTAACTGATCGTCATCTTTAAAACATGCATCATATACAAATTTTGATTTGTTATATAAAATTAAGTACCAGTACAAATATTTACCGTATGTCTTGAACTCCTTCAACGACGATGTGGATTGTGGGAATCGGTTCCCGGTTTGATAACTTCAACGGATTGAGGTTACTCACTTTAGGAATCCAAGTGTCTTCCCTCTAAACGTATCCACCCTATGAAGCCCGGTTCCGACAACCTTCCTTCGCTAGTAGGAATGTCTCGGTTTTCTTGTATAGGAATATATATGAATTTTATTTTGGGAAATTTCAAGAACTCTTTCTTGATGTTTATGAAGAACTATTCTTCTTTCTAACACTTAGAAATTTTAGGAATGAATTTCCCTTAAATGCAAAACCATTTTGCATCTATTTATACTAAACATTTTAGCATAAAATAATCAACATTTAGTAATATT